CCCACCCTCCCCACCCAGCCCATCCCCTCTCCACCCAGCCCGACCCCTCCCAATTTTGGATGCACGACGGACGGACGGACACAATAATCCCCTGTGGGCTGGTGGAACCAGGTGGTTCCTGCCAGTAATATCAGCATTGTTTGGGGACTCCTGGAATAGCAACGAAATTTCGCAGAACAAATGCGATGCAGTACAGCAAGTCCTCAACTTGCGCCGCTCCTATAGAAGCCGTTTCACTATAACGTCCCCAAACGAACTGGGGGACGTAATTAGATTTAAAATGCATTTGATTCATAAAGTTGTTTTGAACATTTAACGTCAAGAACGCCATCGTTCGGGACAGCGCACGTGACGACACGGCTCCCCCTAGTGGCCGCTAAAGCCACAGGTGACAACATCGCCGCCCACGCGATACTGAATGCAATCGATACTGAATACTGAATGCAATTGTACAGAAATGCATGCTAATGCACGATTTTTTATGAAACATTTTCAAATGCCTTATTAAAGCAGTTGATGTTATCCTCTTGGTTCTTTCGGTAAAGTCACGTAGAAGGAAAATAATAAAAATAAAACAATAAAATAATTATTTTATAAAAATAATTATTTTCTTCTTGGTTCTTTCGGTAAAGTCACGTAGAAGGTAAATAATAAAATAATAAAAATACAACATTTAATAATTCTCACGACGTTGCGTTGTGGCCGAAACGTCGTGAGAATTATTTTATGTTTTATTTTTATTATTTTATTATTTTCCTTCTACGTGATGACTTTACCGAAAGAACCAAGAAGATGAATCCCTGCAGTCACAAAAGCTTTAAATCAGTTGACGTTACACAACATGGAAATACATTATTTTGAACTCAAAAGCACGTAATAGAAAGAAAAACACCTCAACAATTCCTTGCTGTGGGTAAACCGTGTTGCTGGTTGCGTACACACACACAAGCACACAGTTCCATCTTAGTAACAACAATACAAATATGCTGATAAATACTCTGTTTCTTTCGCTAAAGCCACATAGGTATAAAAAAATTAACCCGTAAAAACAAAGTTTTTCACTATAAATCCTTTATATGCGTGGCATCGGTTTTATTTTATTATTCATTTCTGTTTTTCTTGAGTAAGAGTTTCATTTTTATCACATTGGTATTTTAAATTAAATATGAAAAAAAAAATTCCTAAAAAGTTGAAAATTTTGGAAAAAAAATTTCACGAAAATAAATTGTCACGCACAACGAGTCTGTGTGCAAAATGTCAGCTCGATTGGATCACGGGAAGTGGGTTAAAAAAACGACCGAAAGATTTGCACGGTCGTAAGCGCGCAAGCAAGCAAGCAAGTGAACTTAATAAAAAGGATTTAATAAACAAAACTAAATCACGACGTTTCGATTGCAACACAATCATCATCATCATCATCAGGTGGGAAAACCACAGCGAGAACATTGTTTTGCTACCTACGTGACTTTACCAAAAGAACCAAAGAGTACGGATCGCTGCAGTGACGTCGACGTCAACTCCAGATCGCTGACAACCAAATCGTCCGTCGTGCCAGGCCGCCATGTTGGCTGGCTGGGTGGGCAGCACGCGCCACGGGCGGACAGAGCCCTGATTGGCTGAGAGCCGCGCGTGCGTCACGCCTCCCTCCCATTGGCTGCTGCTGCTGCTGCCGGTCAACTCACCCGCCCACGTGGTCAGAACGTGACCTCAGAAACAGCTGCGACGTTCGTTTCAACGCCCCAGGCCTCTCCTCTCATCTCTCTCTCGTTTGCCTTCCTTACGACACTTTGCTTGATATTGTTTGTGTTGCTCTACACCAACTGCTGCTGCTGCAGGTTCGACGGCGGCTGGTGAATCCCGTAGCGGGTACGTGGCCAAACACGCGTCTCCTCCTCCCTGTGCTACTCAGCGCTCACGCTCTTGACAGACAACTTGATCTCGTCCACATGTCTTAGCCACTCGGCGTTGTTGGATATGAACATGATGAGTGATATTACTAACTTTTTTAAAACACACGCTTTAATGAAATGTACCCTGCTGTTTGTAGATTTGAAGCTTTCGTGACTGCAATGATTCATATTCTTAGGTTTTTTCGGTAAAGTCACGTAGAAGGGAAATAATTAAAAAAAGTAAAACATAATAAAATAATATAATATCTTTTAATGTTTCATTTTTATTATTTTATTATTTTTATTAATAATATAACAATATTTTTTTATGTTTTATTTTTATTCTTTTATTATTTTCATTAATAATATAATAGAATATATTTTAATGTTTTATTTTTATTATTTTATTATTTTTCTTCTACGTCACTTTACCGAAAGAACCAAGAAGATGTACCCTACTATTTCTAGATTTGAAGCTTTCGTGACTGCAATGATTCATATTCTTAGGTTTTTTCGGTAAAGTCACGTAGAAGGGAAATAATAAAATAAATAAAACAAAACAAATAATATATTATTTTTATGTTTTATTTTTATTAATACTATATATTTTTTTATTATGTTTAATTTTATTATTTATTATTTTCCTTCTACGTGACTTTACCGAAAGAACCAAGAAGATGTACCCTACTATTTCTAGATTTGAAGCTTTCTTGACTGCAAGGATTCATATTCTTAGGTTTTTTTGCTAAAGTCACGTAGGTAAAAAAAATTAAAATTAATAAAAGTAAAATAAAATAAAATAAAAATCACGACGTTTCGGAGGCAACACAAGCTTCCGTCTTCAGGTGGAACCGTCACAGCCCGCTTACCGTATCAAGTAACTTATTTTACTTTTATAAATTGTAATGTTTTACCTACGTGACTTTACCGAAAAATCCTATGTACCGTACGAGTAATGGAAGAACTCCAGCAAGTGGCCCCGAGGCTTGCCGTGACGTCAGGGGCCGTGGTGACTTACAGCCAACGTGAGTTGAGCGTGGACAATTAGAGCCAAGGCGAAACACGACATCTAAAAATGACACTGGTCAACACACTTTGTCTGGCAATAAGATATCCATAGGTCTTAATGTAATTGTGGGGTGCTGATTCCAAATCTGGCATCAGTTTTTGTCTATCACGTCAGGTTTTTGAGATATCAAATATTGCATTTTCAATAAAAAATGCGGAAGAAAAATCTGAAATAAATGTGGATATCTACATAAAATGATATTGTAAACACACCATCCTAAAATACAGCGCCATATTTTAACACTAAAGCAGTCCCTGACTCGCAACAACTTGCAATCATAAGTGACAGAGGTAATTTGGGTAAAATCAATGAAATTGGGGTATGCCGATAGCATAGAAATGAGATGTGATAGAGCAAATCTGAGATCAGATTTGGAATCAGCACCCTGAAATTAGAATGTTGTATTGTTGTTGACCAGTGTTACAGACAGAATTTATTTTTCATCAATGTTCAGCGTTTGTGTTCCATGACGCAAGATTGTAAATGTTGTGGCTTGGCTCTCCAACACATATACGACACTATACACTACAGTATACTACAGTATACACTACTATACACTACACAAAAACACACTATACATATACACTGCTACTACATACACTACACTATACACTGCTATACACTTACACTATACACTACACTATAATACACTACACTACTATACACTACACTATATACTACACTATACACTACATTATACACTACTATACACTACACATAAACACTACTATACACTTACACTATACACTCACTATTACACTACACTATACACTATACACTGCTACACTACACTATACACTACTATACACTACACTATACACTACTATACACTACACTATACACTACTATACACTACATTATACACTACTATACACTACACATGTTCACTACTATACACTACACTATTCACTACTATACACTTACACTATACACTGCTGCAAAGGTCCAGGCCAGAAAAAACATTGTTGTAGTTGTTGACCAGTGTTATAAACACTTGATGTTTGTGTCCTAGTAACGAGGCGGCTTGCACTAAAGTATGTCAAACACTTCGCCGCATTTCACCGTAGCACTCTATTCATTGATGGCCGTCGAGCGCGTCATCTCAAGCAACTTGACAAGGCCAAGATTACATCTCCATCTATATAAAAGGCAAAGTTGTGATTGTGTGTGTTTGTTCAAAATGTTTAGCGTACTTCCCGACATGCAACAAACTTGAAATTTGCCATGTGGGTACTTTCCAAACTGGACACCGTGCACAAATTATAAAAATACACTTTTTTGGGGGGTTGGAGCTCAATAATGCAGTTATTTTTTGCACGGCAAGTGAGTTGTGATGTCAAATCCGCGCATGTGGAAGCGTAACGCAATGTAGTGTAGCGGTTAGCTGCGCCGCGCTACGAAACCGGCGACCCGAGTTCGATTCCCGCTCACGGCCACCGCCGGTGATGATTATTTTAACCGCTCCTGGGCCTCCCCTAGGTCGACTCAGCCTCAAACGAGTAACTGGCGTGGTGTGTGAACATCGCCACTGGGGGGACAAAGGCGGCCGGGCGTGGTTCATCCAAGCCCCCGGGCGAAACCGGGTAGTACAGCTAGTCTCGCTATTGATTATGCATCGTCAATTTTTCCATTTTCCCGTCACAATTTCATTTACACAACTGAAAATATCCGAATAAAAAAATCACAACGAATAGTTCTTCCCCCTCCCATCACCTGCTTCCCCACGTCGTCGTTTTCAAATCCTTGATATTAAGTTCACTTGCTTGCTTGCTTAGGACCGTGCAAATCTTTCGGTCGTTTTTTAACCCACTTCCCGTGATCCAATCGAGATGACATTTTGCACACAGACTCGTTGTGCGTGACAATTAATGTTCGTGACATTTTTTTCCCAAAATTTTGTTTTTACGGGTTATACTTGTTATCAAGCGTTGCCTTATTCCTGCTCGACCCTCTCCCCCCTTCGTCTCCCCGCAATTCCGACTCCTCGGCCGGCGCCGTCCACGCACACAGCTCGTGCCCCCGGCTCGCCCCGACCCGGACAAATGGATCCTCTCGGCGCCGCCCTCGTCTGCCTGTGCTGCGCCGTCACCGCCGCCGCCTCCGCCCGCCGCTCGCCGCCGGCGCCCCCGCGCTACTCGGTCCGCGAAGAGGAGCCGCCGGGCACGCTGGTGGGGAACCTGGCCCGCGACCTGGGCCTCACCGCCGAGCAATTCCGCGCTCGCCGATTCCGAGCGCTGCGGGGCACCAACGGCTCCGACTACCTCGCCGTGAGCGCCGACGGTCGGCGATGTGCGGGTGAGCCGGCGCCTCGACCGCGAGGCCGCGTGCCGCCGGGCGAGCGCCGCTGGCTCGGGCTGCTCCCTGCTGCTCGGCGCCGTCCTGGAGCGGCCCGCCGAGCTGGTGCGCGTCGTCGTCGACGTGCTGGACGTCAACGACCACGCGCCGTGCTTCCCGGCCGAGAGCGCCCTCCTCGAGGTCGCCGAGAGCGCCGCGGTCGGCACGCGCTTCGCGCTGGACGGCGCCCGCGACCCCGACGCCGGCGCCAACGCGCTGCGGGGCTACGCCATGGAGCCCGACGACGGCGCCTTCGCCCTGGAGACGCGCGACGGCGGCGGCGGCGCTTTGTCGCCCGTGCTGGTGGTGCGCCGCGCCCTGGACCGCGAGCGCCGGGCCACGCACGAGTACGTGCTCACCGCGCTGGACGGGGGCCGCCCGCCGCTCAGCGGCACGGTCCTGCTCACCGTGCGCCTCCTCGACGCCAACGACAACGCGCCCTGCCTTCGAGCGGCCCGTGTACCGGGCGCTGGTGCCCGAGGACGCGCCGGCGGGCACGCTGGTCGCGCGGCTCCACGCGTCGGACCCGGACGAGGGCGCCAACGGGGAGGTGGAGTACGCGGCGATGCTGGGGGCGCGCGAGACGGCGCGCGACCTCTTCGCGGTGGACTCGCGCTCGGGCCTAGTCACCCTCGTGGGGGCCCTGGACCACGAGGAGGCCGACTCCCACGAGATGCACGTGCGGGCGCGCGACCGGGGACCCGACTCCGTCCCCGCTTACGCCACGGTGCTGGTGCGCGTCCTGGACGTGAACGACAACGCGCCCGTCGTGCGGCTGCTCGGCCCGACCGGGCGACTCCGCGGCCGCCGTCGTCGGCGTGTCCCGGGGGGCGTCGCCCGGCCACGTCGTGGCCTTCGTCCGCATCCGGGACCGAGACTCGGGCGCCAACGGGCGCGTGACCTGCACGCTCGAGGGCGCGTCGGCCGCGGGGCCCGGCGTGGCGCCGCCGTTCGCGCTCCGCGCCTGGGACGGGGGGGCGAGGTGTACGCGCTGGCGACGGCGACGCGGCTGGACCGCGGGGCGACCGCCACCGCCGAGTACAACCTGACGGTGGTGGCGCGGGACGACGGAGCGCCGCCGCTCGTGTCGGTCAAGACGTTGACGGTGCGCGTCACGGACGCGCGCCCCGAGGGCCGGCTCCTGGACGACGGCGACAACGGGGACGACGGTGGGGACGGGGACAACGGCTTCGCGACGCCGTTCGTCGCGGTCATGGCGCTGGCCGCGGCATCGTGCGTCCTGAACGTGGCTGCGGTGGCGGTGGTGCTGCGCTGCAAGCGGGAGAACAAGGAGCTACGCACCTACCGCTGCGGCGCGGCCGCCCGGGCCAGGACGCCGGCGCGTGACGAGCCGGGGGCGGCCGCCCGCTCCGGCGGCGAGGCGGCATCCGCCACCGCGCCCAACGCCTACGAGGACAAGTCCTTCCTGCCCTCGGAGGCGGCGGGCGCGGCAAACGCCGGCGCTTGGCAAGCCCCCGCGTCGCCACCCTCTGCGCCGTGTGCCTGGCCGGCACGACCTCACACAGGTAGGTGATGCGCCGACGCAAGACGGCCCCCTTTTGAAAATGACCGCACGGGCCCGGGGAGGCCCGCCAAGCACTCCCCGCTGAACTTTCACTGCCGCGGCAATAACTTAAGAAATCTTGAGAATCAATCATCCGTCACGAATCGTCATCCGCCCCCCTACGCACAATGCAGCGTGCGCGGGGAGGGGGGAATGACGTGTTTTTTTCCACGCATATCTCCGTAGACTGTCCGCGAAATTAAATTGCAATCAAGTATAAAATATAGGCGCATTGTGTACGGTCGATTGAGTTTGCCGAAATTTCATCTGCATGCATTTTACTCCGGTTATCAATTATAATATAAAGCAACTGATTTAAAGCTTTCGTGACTGCAGGGATTCATCTTCTTGGTTCTTTCGCTAAAGTCACGTAGAAGGGAAGTAATAAAATAATTATTCTTTTATTTTTATTATTTTATTACTTCCCTTCTACAGTGACTTTACCGAAAGAACCAAGAAGACTAAAGCTAACTGAATCGGAGAGGTTCATGGTTCGACCTCTACGCAAACCAAGCGTCCCTCAATCAGCAGCACGAAGGGGGGGTGGGTGGGTTCCCACGCGTACCTGCGATCTGCTGGTGGCAGATGCTTAAGAGACTCAGAGAAGCGGATACAATGAGGAGGCACATTCGAAGGTACGAATCGTGGTGCCACGCGTATTAAACGCTCGCTGAGATCCGAGCACTCCTTTTGGCGAGCTTAATATACGTGTAATAATGGTCATTGAGGCGACTCCTGGAATCTGGTCTTTATTTCACTTTTTCATGAACAGCTTTCCTTCACGCTGCTGACAGGCAGCGTGAGAGGGACAGATAGAGAGAGAGAGAGACGCACTGCCACGTGGCAACCCGGAGCCCCGCTCCCGCGTGGCCTCCTTCCTCCGTTCGTTCTCGTTCTGACCACGTGTCGTTTGTCTCCACCCCTATTTAATACCCGGGTCACGTGGTACCTTTCCACCAATCCTGGTTAGCCTCCGTGGAATCTTCCAGACTCCCTCGTAGGCTCCCGGGACCACGCCCCTGACTCGTCTCCCCATTGGCTGTGGCTAAAGCCAGCAGGGCCAATCATCTCCTTACAGCTGTCACCTTTCCATGACGTCAGGGCCACGCCCCCAGGCTTCCCCCATTGGCTGTGGACCAGGACCGGCAGAGCCAATCATCGTGACGAGTTGTGACACGTCAGTGATCCGGATATATCCTCACATTACATACGTTTAAAGAACAGGAAACACGTGGTACCAGCGAAGACCCTTCTTCAAACGTGCGAGCGTGCGTGCGTGCGAGCGTGCGTGCGTGCGAGCGTACGTGCGTGCGAGCGTGCGTGCGAGCGTGCGTGCGTGCGAGCGTGCGAGCGTGCGTGCGTGCGTGCGAGCTGTGCGCTCTCTGCACAAGGGGTTTCAGAGTCTGCGTGCCCATTCGTGGACAGACGTCGGGCGCTGACGTCGGCACAATGACCCTGCTGCGTACGGATTGCTCCTGTTACTAAACAAAACGGTGAAGGTTGCAATCTTCCGTGGTGAGAATGGAAGTGAAGAAAATGTCACGCGCTGATGATATACAAAACTAACAGATTGAACGTGCACATACGCGGCGCTTGCCCGCACGCGATCGTGAGTTCGAAGTGCGTGAATGACGACGGGCGTGCCCCCGTTGATCTTTTGCAGGGCAATGACAATTTCAATCGACAGCAGCAGCAGCAGCAGTCGTCTGGAAGGTGAGCGTTTACCCGCGTCACACACGCGAACCCTTCATTTGTTCAGCAATCCGGCCTCAAATCATCAAAATTAAAAGTTAATAAAAGTAATAATGGAAATAAAATAAAATAATAAATCACGTTTCGGAAGCAACACAAGTCTCCGTCATCAGGTGGGACCGTCACAGCTAAAAATTACTGCATCAAAATCAAGTTCCGTTTTGCGCCGGTAATTTGCAGGCTGAGCGGATGTCGTGACTTTGCGGTGCATTTAGACAACAACAACAACATTTAGACAACAACAACAACAACATCTAGACAACAACATCTAGACAACAACATTTAGACAACAACAACAACAACACCCCATGGGAGAGGAGCAGTGGGAAGGCGGTGTTGTGCGTTGGCAGAATCCCGTGCTCTGAGGCAGAGGTCACAACCGCGTACCCGATACCCGTACCCTACCCGATACCCGTACCCTACCCGATACCCGGCTACCCGTGACCGGCCGGGTATGGGTAGAACGTGAGTCACTGGTGAGTCACCGCTTGTCACTCATTTCCCAACGTCTTGTCTCTTCTCACAATTCAAGTTCCTAGAATCAACCCACCCGCGGCCTACAACATGGCTTCATCCCAGAGGTCGCAATCAGGTACCCGATACCCGTACCCAGCCAGGTACGGGTAGGGTACAGGTACGGGCCGGGTACGGGTACCCGTTTGCGACCCTGGTGCGGCCGGGTACGGGTAAGGAATCAAAACCCGTTTGCGACCTCTGCTCTGAGGTGGCCATATTTCCTGGCAAATGCTAAAAACAGTTGGGATGCGGCGAGTGTTCAATTAAATGCCGGTTGTGGGAAATCCAAAATGTAAAAAAGAATTCCAATGCTGACCAGTCTGTATAATTAACGCTCGGTCACTATCGCCTTCAGTGAGAAACTTTGAAAGCTCAGCATGTCGGCCTTGGCTAAATGTCATCCGGAGCCATGTTGGCACAATGTGTGTGTCTATTCACATCAGAAGAATGTACCGGCGTTTATTTTCAGAGAATAAAATAAAACTCGGCAGGCCACACGCACAGCCCGTAGCGTCTCAAAATATCCTTTAGCTGATAAACAACTCGCTCCTAATACGGCACGCGACGGCGTTTGAAAGGATTTGGGGGAGTCTCGCTCCAGAAATCTCTGCACGCGCTTGGGCACTCAAGCTCTTTGTAAGCTTGCAGCGGCACCCGTCAGAGCCAGTCCACAATCCCCCTTGTGCAGAGAGCTGGCGCTCTTTCACACTCTTTGGTTACGTAGTTAAAAAATTAAATAAAAATTCCGCCCCCCCCCCCCCCGTTTTAACTCACTGGCCATCTTCTGCATCATAAGAAATGATGTTACCAGCTTGTCCCCCCCCCCACCCACCCTGGCTCCTCCCCCCCACCAAGCTTGTCCCCCCCCCCACCCACGACCCACCCTGGCCCCTCCCCCCCACCAGCTTGTCCCCCCCACCCACGGCCCCCCTGGCCCCCTCAGGCTGTATATAATCTCGTGTCTCTTAGAGTTGTCTTCACTTGATGCAGTAATTCTGCTGTGACGATTCCACCTGAAGACGGAAGCTCGTGTTGCCTCCGAAACGATTCAATTTAGTTGTTTTTAAATCCTTATATTAAGTTGACTTGCTTGCTTGCGCGCTTACGACCGTGCAAATCTTTCGGTCGTTTTTTAACCCACTTCCCGTGATCCAATCGAGCTGACATTTGCACACAGACTCGTTGTGCGTGACGCTTGATTTTCGTGAAAAATTTTTTCCAAAATTTATACTTTATAGGAAAAAAAAATTCATATTTAATTTAAAATAGCAATGTGATAAAAATGAAACTCTTACTCAAGAAAAACAGAAATGAATAATAAATATAACCGATGCCACGCATATAAAGGATTTATAGTGAAAAACTTTGTTTTTACGGGTAATTTTTTTTTCCCATTTTTTATTCTTAACTACGTGACTTACCGAAAAAACCAAAGTGTATGATTAACTAACACATTTAACGGGCACTTACGCAGCGCCTTGCCCGTCGCACGCGATCGTGAATGCGCAGTGTGTGAATGGTGGTGGCGTGCCCCCGTTGATTTTGCAGAGGCCTTGCTGTTTCTTGGAGCCCAACAATCGACTGCAGCAGCAGTCCAGCAGGTGAGCAGCGTTTAGCGCGCCGCACACACGAACCCTTCACTTCTTCAGCGTCCGGCCGAAATCAAGTTCCGTTTTGCGCCGGTAATTTGCAGCGGACAATAACAACACCATGGGAGAGGAGCGGTGGGAAGGCGCTATTGTGAGTTGGCAGAATCCCGTGCTACGAGGTGGCCACATTTCCTGGCAAAAGCGTTCAATTAAATGCGGTTGTGGGAAATCCAACATTTAAAAAAATTCGAATTCATATTCTTAGGTTTTTCGGTAAAGTCACGTAGGTAAAAAA